ACGTGTGCTCTTCCGATCTTGTTCCAGCAGGTACTACATATGACTCTACAAAGCATATAAATTTATAAATAAACTTAAAAGTTTTATTACAATTTAAAAATTAAACATCTATTTAATTCAATAGTTCATGTACTTAATAAAAAAATATTTAAAAAAAGTTATTTAAATTTATTACGTAATATTTTAAAAAAATAGTAGATATATTATACGTAACTTTGTATATAAAGTTTTTTTTAGAAAATCATATAAATAAATATTATGAATAAAAAAGTTAAAATCTTTAAAAAAATCCTCACATCTTATAGATATTAGCCATCATTTGATAATATTGAGTAATTTTATTTGAAATTGAAATAAATTAAAAAATTAAGTAAAGATTTAAATCAACCGTGGAATGTTTCAAACAACTAAGATGAGAAAACATGATCTTCAACCTAAATAGTACATAATACTACAATTAAATTTCCAAAGTAATTTAATAATTTTCTTTGAGCATTTCTTTAAATCCTGTGAAAATTTATTACGAAAAATTCTGGCTGTGATAATTATTTTTCGCAATATACATTATTTTCACAGGACTTAACACTAGAACCGCAGTTGTGCCATTTTTTCCCCCATCTGATAGTTGTTCTTCTTTCAATTATTTTAGATTTGCACTTGGAGCTTTAGTTTTTTATGACTTTCCATAATTAATGATCATGAAATTACTATTAATTACAATTAATTAATAGTAATTTCTATTTTGTTGTGACAATCCTTCCTCGTAAAAATCCAGATTTATACTTTAAATCGCGATTGGGTAAATTTAGACCCATCATTGATAATGATGTGTTAAGATAAATTTATTTGTCAGCATCGATTTTTGTTTCACTGGCAAACTTTGTACGGTACTATTTGTGATAATTAAACGCCACACCTATATTTTCTACGGGGAGGGGGAGTATACTTTATACGATAATGTTTATAATCACGTAAAAATTTGCGGGCGGATAGCGCGCTTCCTGCTTTCATTTCACCATGTGTGCGTAACATTGTTAACTATATCCATGCATAAACTGAATAAGTAAAAATATATTATTTAATTACAACTATGCTCACCCATCCAAAAATCACAATGGAGTAATTTAATATCAATATAGTTTAATTTGGACTTAATACGATTATAATTGCCAACCATCCGCGATTTTAAGGGAAGCCCAAATCGCCACACTTCTAGTGTTAACACGATTTGCTCAAAGAACAAAAAAACAATTAAATTGCTTTTTCCAATTTAATTGTGAGATGACGTACTGTTCAGTTTGGAGCTACGTTTTTAAAGATTGACAATGTGGCGCGCAGTTTGCTTAAACTAAAGATTTTAAGACTCACATATAAAAATATTATTAGGCACTAAGATCAGTTTTGTACCATGTTGGCATATTCTCATCTTAATTTAAAAGTACAACAAAAGATTAACTTAATGCCTACGTAATTTTACGTCTTCTTCAACAGTCCGTGCTATAGAAGTTGCGACGGGATACAAGCGCATTCCTTCCTTTATACATCTCTCCAAATATGATAACTCTTGCAATAATTTCATAGTAATTTTCCCTTCATGCTCTTGTATTGCAGCATCGAATTCGTTCCTAACATATTCCTATATCATGAATATTAATTAAAAATACTTTTATTTAATACTTTTATATACACAAAAATAACACCCTCAAAAAGGGATTTAAAATGTTTAATATAAATGCATTTTAGTAAATAAATTTGGAAATTATTGGAAATAATTAATTTGTTTGTCTAAGAATAGAGCCTAATAGATACCTGAATGTCCTTATGCTCAGCTAATAGTGCCAAAATGAAGCATATAGTCGTTGATGTAGTATCATGGCCCTATAATCATATTGTATTACATATATAGGGTGTCCCAAAATTGGCGCATTCGGAGTTACAGAACGTTATACTTTGTGCTAAAAGGAACAACTTTTTCTTTTAGCAAATTTTGATCTGACAAGTAATTTTGGCAGGAGAGCTGGTTAAAGT